GAGAGAGAGGGGAGAGAGAGAAGGGGGGGGCAGAGAGAGAAAAGCGAAATGAGAGCGGAAAGCGGAGAGCGGAGAGCGGAGAGAATGAATCTGCACAAACTCATATTCCATTGTTGAATGCTTGTTTCATAAAAGTATTTTACTTACTTTACTGGTTGAAAAGGGGAAGATTTATCAATCGATGGTGATGGCTGATCGATGGCTTTTTTCGGCAGAGCGAGAGTGTAATTCCGTCATTGAAGGCCGTTCCGGATCTAGCGAGGATCCGCTAAATGAGCCGCTCAAACGAGAAGGTGTCATTAACTGCTCCCAATACTGGCACCGTGACCAAGTTCCACCTAATAATCCTGAAAAAGGACTATTTAAGAGATGATAGCGAGAGAAGATGGATAATCCTGATCGATATCGAAACAAGAACAAAAAACTCTCCCGCGAGAACTAAAGTGTTTATTATATAGGCGATGACGTGAATATTAATAACGAGAAAAGGATAATTAGATGTGACATCTAGTGGCGCGAGCGAAAACTGACTGTGAGTATTGGTAAATTAATTTGATCCCACTGATTTTTACCTTGTTCTAAAGAAAATTTTACTTTATTCTAACCTTACTCTACTTTACTACCTGTTTCGAGTCAGCTGATCATTATTCAATTGCTAAACTGTAGAATTGGTATAAAGCAGCGTCGATGGTGTCTTAATTATCAGTGTTGTTTATTGCTGGCCGTTTATGTGATTATTTTCTTCTTGGCTTCTTCACGTGACCACTCCCTCGATATATAGACTGGACTGCTGATGGTAGTGGTGGAAGTAGAAAGACGCCTAGAGTAAGAGGCAGATAAATAGATGAACTTCTTTCTCTGTTTACTAAATCGAATTGGTTGTTGTTACTCTGGCAACCAATCCGGTTTTAATAAACAGAGAAGGAAGTTCAATCATTTATCTGCCTCTTACTCTAGGCGTCTTTCTACTCCCACCACTGCCAGCAGTTCAGTCTATATATCGATGGATCACTCATTTTGTCGACATTTCAGAGCAGGTTTTTTTATGCATGGACGCTCTCGCATGTATTTCACGTACAATTAAAATTCTTAAGAGAATGCTGGACTGATCTGTTTTACCGACTAAATATATATTTAGTATTTTTCCATTTTCGTCATATCTGAAAGAAATTCCTTTTCTATGCGAGTTCGAAAAGAATCGCCACGAGTAGTGTACAGTATCGATAGCTGGACACGACTGAATTCTATATATTTCCCGTAACTAAAAACCATATAGGATAGATTAAAGGACACTACACTATAAGATTTTTGAACTATAATCTAATGAATTAATGATGAAGTGATGCGCCAAGACTTGATTCTGGCATCTTGATGTGATACTTTAAATAAACCCATAAAATTTTGTCTCCAAGATAAAATAAAATATTCTGACATACGATTTCGTTTAGTTCTATACTTTGTAACAATTAATTTATAGATCTAATATTTCTTTAAGAGATATATTTGTTAAATGTTTGTTAGGTATACTATTAAAAGCTATTTCGAGTCCATTGAATTTTTATAGACTATAGAAAAATTTCCTTTTGTATTTGAGAAAGAGTTTAGAATTGAAATGTGAAGGACTGTAGTTATACTCATTATCTTTTATAATCTTTTTCCTTTTTTTGTTTCAGAGAGCATATATATCGAATTGTTAATGAGGCAAAAATAATATTTTAAGGTTTGTACAGCAACCCTTTGTACAGCAGCCTTAATTATAGTTTACGAATTAAAAAAATTTGTTTTATTTTTATTTTATGTACTTTAGTATTAATAGAATAAAGACAGCATAAAACAAAATTACCTGACTTTATTATATATTTAAAAAAAGTTCCCCATTAAGGGCTATAAATACTCTATCTATAGTCCTTAATGAAACAATGAAGTAATGTCTTGAGAATGAGCTCAAGAATATTGATTTCCAAGATAAAAATAAATAAAATATTTTGACAATACAATTTTGTTTTGTTTTATATAAAAATTAGTTTAAGAATCTAAAATTAATCTACTACCCTAATATTAAAA